CTGGAGTCAAAGCGTCAAATAGGAAGTGCACATCTCTAATGAGGATATAGTACAGTTTAAAGGAAGGACGAGCAAGTTGAGGTGGAGAAAGTCCTTGCCAACAGCACTAGCTGCCACATTGTATGCCCTTCTTCAGTCTAGAAGCCATGTCAGTCCTTTCTGTCATCAGTTCATTAGTTTGAATTTGGTCGAAACTCATGAACCCTGGAACATAAATCTGTTTCAAAGTTATGCGTATGTTTTGTTATAGGGCACTCTCATTGCCACGCCCCGCCGATTGGCAAGAACAAACACACCTACACACCAACAGACTTGACCTCCATGTGGAATCGCATTCTTCTAAGGCTGCCAATTTGTAGGAAAATGTTTGTTGTTCGACTGAGTGAAAAAAGCTGATAATTAGAAATAAAAAGCCAGAGTGAATAGGTGTGTTTTCAGGGCTTTTTTGAAGGATGCAAGAGTCTTTCGGATGTGACTGGGACATGAGTTCCAGAGGGAGGGGGAGTTAATTGAAAGGCTTTTTTTAATGAATGGAAATTGTAGCATTTGGGTATGGACATGTATCGGTAGAAAATACTGCTGATGAATATTTCAGTTGTTCACCTACACAAAGCCAGCATTTGATTCACTTTCATACAAAAATAAAGAAGTGGTTCAACAAAGAAAATGTCATGTCAACATAGTCTATGGTCAACACACACAAATATTGAGAATACAGTGTATACAGTGGTTGGTCTTGGGGGATAAAAGTAGGCGAGTCATCTTTACAGGTACAGTAAAACCTCTTATCACAGCATGATGCCCTCAGCTGTCCCTACAGACACTGAGATGTGTGGCTTTAAAGATCAGAAATGTTCTTGAAAACATACACAGGGGTTCTTTACCGAGTGTGTTTGCTTGCAGCGGGGGAGATGACAAATCACTGGTAATCTACAAGCTTGTGTGTGTGTGTGTGTGTGTGTGTGTGTGTGTGTGTGTGTGTGTGTGTGTGTGTGTGTGTACAGTAGACACGATTTCAATAGTCAAATACATCAAACAAACCCTTTCCCTTCAAGCACATATGAGCTATGTTTTGTTTGTTTTGATATCAGATGTTTTATATTGCTGGCAAGATCTTATTTTCATATTGCTTGTTTTCTATCTGTCACGAGTGTGCGGCATCTTCAACTTCTTTGGTTGCTCCGATAGATAATCAAAGTGTGTAGTTGAAAATGAATAAAGAGGAAAGACTGCGTTTAGGAACATGTACAGAAAACACTAGCCTTGTTTCTGAAACACTCAAGTGTTCCAGTGCTCCCTTACAAGATGGTTACTAAAGACAGCACTCTGAAAAATGGGACATGATGGCAATACATAAGGGCAACAGCTTTCAAAATAAATGAAAAAAACATTTATCCTCTGGTCAAGATTGAGTAACATGCTGTGATACCAAGAGTCCTTTCAAACACTTGGACTGGCCAAAGAGAAACATTTTACAACTCTGACTTCTTAAACAAACGAGACAGTAAAAAGACATCTCAAAGACTTGTATTAAACACATCTATTTCCTTGGCAATTTAAGTCTGCCCAAACGCATCAATGTTTTAGGAAACCTTTACAACTGAAGCTTGCCACCATCCTCTAATGAAAAGAAGGAGGATGCAAAATGTGCTTTTTCCATTCAGCTTATCTTGTTTTATTCGTGTAGCGCTATGATGCAACAAATACAAATTGTCTCTCCATTGACATTTCTGTCAGTGTGCCACTGTTTCAACAGGCCAAATGGAATAAGTTAATTAGTATGTCTAATTACATTTGGTGGCTCAGCTTTGGGAATATCAAATCAAATTAGGATAGTCAATGTTCTTTTTTTCATGGCACACGGTTTGCCTTAAGCGATGCTTTTTAGGATCTGTCTTTTGTCTTTGTCTCTATCCTTCTTAACGTCCCTTCGAGCTGTACTGCGCCTTCGCTTTGTAGTCTACCCTCAACTCTCTCTCATCACCACCCACACTTCCTTTTTTTTATTTCATTGCATTTTTGGATCTTATTCTTTTATTTTTACATTTCTTTTTTCAAGTCTTCCCCAACTAGAAACTTCAGCTCCATGTCCTGATAATTTGTTTGTCTCTTGCACTCTGTGTGAAATGATAATGTAATAACTACCAGCAAATGTAACAACGTGTGTTACAAATAAAATTACCCTCTTTATGGTTTGAAAATAAATAAGCTGTTAATCCGATAAACCTCCCATTAAAGCAATGACCATTTGTAATAAATATTGCTTTTAATGTTGCCTCTTTATGATGTAATCATTGGTTTTAAGCATTATGAATATATTGAAATAAGGGGATAACTATTACATTATTAGTGCCAAAAATGTCTTTAAGTCCCACTTACCAACTTTTCTGCCTCACTCATTTCTTCCTCTGTTTCATCATCTTCCTCCTTCCTCATCTTCGTCCCCATTGACATGCGCCCTTCTGTCTGTCATGTGAAAAAACATAAGCCAGTCTGTCACTGTTTGCGTCTGTCTTTGTTCTGTCAGAATCTATCTCAGAGATAAGTGTGACTGATCGCTGCAGGCCCAGCCAGACAGACGGTGTATAATTGAGTGATAGGGACTAATGTAAGTGAATGGCTTAGAGCGACAGTGATCCACAGCAGTGGCAGAAACTCAGGCTCCGAGGAAGGCTTTCTGTTAGGCCCTCCATAATACCAGCAACAACAGCCACCTAGATAACAATCTGGTGACTACCTGGCTGTGTCTGTGTGTATTTGGGTGTGTGTGTTTCAGGTTAACTTCTTTTTCTCTTTTTTCCATCCTGTGTCTCTTTTTCTTTTCTGCTTAATTGCTCTATTTACCACTCTACTTCATTTCTCCCCACTACACACACCTTTAGCTCATCCCTTTCTCTCCCCGTTATCTTAGCCTTTTAATTAATGTGACATGCTGTGAAGTGAGATACTAAATAATGCAGGCTTTTCCAGTGACATTGAATCAGGCCTAGTAATTAGTGGCCACACACACATTCCCACACACAAACACACTCACCAAGAAACCAGGATAGATGCCATTTTAAACAGTAATCTACCTTATAGGGATATATCTTTTGCAGCACAAATGTGGCTTATTAGACGAGTATGACAATAATGGTCCCTTGGAGAACTGATAGTACCTGTATGCAATTGAAACAGCATTACTATTAGCCTACAGTAAAATGTGAAGTACAATAGTAAAGGGGCTTGGTAAATAAGTAAAACAAAATGAAAACATATTGATTAAAAAGACCAGGAAACTTGTTAAATACTACTAAAGTAAAACTCTCTGATACAAAAGATTTTAAAATAATAATAAAAAAAGAAAGAAAATAAGTTAAAGTTGGTGATTGCCCCTTGAAACCTAACATCTAAATATAACTGAGGTCTAATATCCAGAACTAAATAAAACATGAAACTGTAATTTCCCTGTGTTTTGGATGGGTGCACAAGCTACAGTAAACTGCATGGCTGGGTTCCCATATCTACTGTGGTGGTGTAAATCACAGTGGCACAGGACTTCATTTGTGCAGGGAGAGATCTAGGTTATCCCAAAGCAATTGTTTCAGACCAAACCAAGTGGAAAATCCAGTGTGGGTTTAGTTGTTTGCTGCCTTGGCTGCAGGGATGTTAGAGTTCGTCTGCCCCCCAACCCCCCCCCCCATGCATTTTTTAATCCGATGGCTTGTTCAGGAGTGGAGAGGATTAAGACTACTGCTGATGATGACTCTGTGCAGTTTTTGGAAAGCCCACAAACACATGCACGAATGCATAACACAGGACCACACAGCTGCAACATGGATACTCACGCTGTAGCAGCACAGGCAGTCGCGGGAATATTCACATGCATGCACATACAGAGGCATCACCATATGCATGAGCTAGCCCATATGCATGCACATACAGAGGCATCACCATATGCATGAGCTAGCCCATATGCATGCACATACAGTGTCACTCCCCACATTCATTCATGTAAAGACGCACGTTACACATGTAAGCATCGTCTCTCTTTGCCCCTGCTCATTTTCACCATCTCTCACTCATTGCTGTCAGTCTCTGGACAGCAGCAGTGTTCTGCCATGTCCCATTGTGCCATGTGATTTGAGCTGTGAGATTTCAGACACAGAGTGACGCCTGTCTCTTCTAATGCCAGACAATCACACCAGGCACTGCAGATGGCAGAGAGACAGCTGGACGGAAAGAGTTATCGAGAGAGAAAGTGAAAATGCAAAGAATATGTCTGCTAGAAAGAGAGACATAAGGAAGAAATATTGTGAATATTTAGGAAACCAAAAACAGCAAAAAGTTACAAGAGGACGGAGACAGGGGACAGAATAGCTAGCGATAGAGAGAGTCCAAACATGAAGGGAAGTAAGGATGAAGCGATAGAGACATTGAGCTGTATGTTGACCCAACACTGTTTGGAACATAGCCAGTAGATCTGTCTCCTCCCACTTTAATCTCTCCGTCGGCCATCAATCCCTTGTTCAATCTTCTCCACCCCCTCCATGTTAAAGCCATTCTTTCCTTTTCATTAATATGAAATCATGCCGCTTTGACGTAAATTTGAAATAAATCCTGTAATGAAGTCTGCTTCAGAGATGTGTAGGGCACGAACTAAAGCCGGAAATCAGTTGCTTGCTCGGAGATAAAAAGTGAACTTTAGAAGCTGACTGATGTTTTAAAGCTAAATGTTTGCCATAAGTTGAAATTCATCAGCTACTTTGTGAGCTCTTTTTTACACACACACACACCAAAATACACCTCCGGCAATGAGTGTATGGTCCTAATGAAGCGAGGAGAGGAGAGGCAGCTGCATAACTTGAGTGTAAAGCCTAGAGGGAATCACACACTTCAAGTGTGTGTTTGTTTGTGTGTGTGTATGTGTGTGCGCACGGACTATATTATATCTGAAACTCTCTCATTTGGACGTGTTTAAAGACTGCATTTCTTTTAACCTCCTTTCTTTCTCTCTCCAGGTTGTGAGGGCCTGTTTCTATCGTCTTGTTGTTCAGTGAGGCAGTGAGCTCACGGTGGAAACAGCATGCATGTGACGACATATCCCATGATGCACTCGGCCAGTCCAGGCCTGCTCCTCCTCAGCTTCCTCTTCCTCGCCGATGCCGACTGTGAGTCTTTCCCCACTCAGTTCCGTGCACTTATTTTCTCTCACATGCCTACTCCCAGATATAGACACACAAAAAGAAAAACTGTTACATGCGTTCAATACCTTTAGAATCCACATGTACACGCAGGCACACTGAGTCATACAATGACCTGATTTTCTCCTACAAACCACTCCACTCCTGATATAATATCGCTGTGTAAGTAAGTGCGTGAGTGTGTGTATGTTTGCAGGTTTGATATGAGGCCAGCTGTTTTTGTCCATCCAGTATTACTTGGATGGCTTGGCATGGAAAGACAATCCACATATGGCAAATCAGATAAGTTGTCGTGCGTACGTGTGTGTGTGTGTGTGTGTGTGTGTGTGTGTGTGTGTGTGTGTGTGTGTGTGTGTGTGTGTGTGTGTGTGTGTGTGTGTGTGTGTGTGTGTGTGTGTGTGTGTGTGTGTGTGTGTGTGTGTGTGTGTGTGTGTGTGTGTGTGTGTGTGTGTGTGTGTGTGTGTGTGTGTGTGTGTGTGTGTGTGTGTGTGTGTGTGTGTGTGTGTGTGTGTGTGTGTCTAAACATAGTTAAAATGGGTGTCTACCTGTGTCAGGCATGGCGTCTCTGACAATTTGTCAGGTTTACCAATGCGGCTTTGAATCTCCCAGCAGCGGTGATGAAACTGCCTGATTTGGGGTAAGACTAAGGATAAAAGAAATGAAGACAGAAGGGGAGTTTGGAACTAAAACATGAGACGATCTGAAAAAGAATATTAAAAGAGAAAGAGGAGGTCATTCAAGCTCACCATGCAGACAGTTAACATCTGGGAGCAATCCTGTAGGAGGCCTCGGTAACAGTGGTGTCTAGCAGAATTGTATTTGCATATTTGTTTTTAAAGTGTGTGCTGGATAATTATACATTTGTTTTGGCAAGTAGTGTACAAATAATGTATGTGAACCAGATACATTTGCAGCATGTTTGGTACATTCTGTTATTTGGAAGGAAAATTCAGCATAGCTCTGAGCTTGTGGTTGTACAGTATGATGCTGGACACATATCATCGCCACGCTGTAACACACACACACACATGCACGCTAGTACAGGCTTCAGGCAGCAATTCCAGCCCTGCAATGTTTTAAAACTGCACTGTCACACAAACCCGAGTTATAGCACACACATCCACAAACCACTCTTGTTTTCCTTTCAGCCTCCTGCCCTCTTGTCCCCTGTGTGAGTTCCAGGGTCGGTCAGTAAAGGCCCAGTCATCCATCAAAACGATGATGCTCCTAGACTTTCACAATAGCAGTTAGGAGAGCAGCGTAGACTCACAGAGGGTGGAAATGATTCCCACTTTGTTTCCTCTGTCTATATTTTTCTTTTTCCCGTGCCCTCGTCTCATTCGCTGTGACTTGTTCCATTGCTCTTTTCTTGCTCGCTCTCTGGGTCTTCTCCCCACATCCATATAATCTGGTGAGAAAGGAGGGACAGAGGGCTTTAGGGGGGTAAAGGGACGAAAGGCTGTTCATTTCTCCTTTTATTTCAGTGTTTATGACATAAAATGCCTCTTTTAATATCAACATTGGGACTAAGAGTTCTTGAATGTTAAGAGTTCAAACATAGGCTCCAGGACCCAGACATCTTTGTTGCTCGTTGACATGTTTTGAAATGTTAAATGTACTCGCAAAATTGCTTTTATTTGTGCTTATCTTTCCTCCAACTCAGTGCCAAAGAAATGGAATAGATTTCAAGCATTATAGGGTTTTTACAAAATAGAGGCATCATTTTATTTTCCTCCTCTACTGTATGTCTGGAAAGAGGCATTATTTTGTATTCAACCATAAACACACATGCTTGTGTACACAAGTTACAGACATACACACTAGGGCTGCACGATATATCGTGTCGTGACGATAATCGCGATTCACATCGCAGGAAGTAAAACAAATTGTAGGCAAATTAACTCAAACACGTCATGTTACAATTATTTTGCTGCTTGCTACAAAAGGAAAACTCTCATGTCAGGGTTACTTGAGTGAGTGACATGCAGGCTCTGCATGCACAGCAAACCACCAATCACAATCAAATCTCCAAACCAAACGGACCCGGTGATTAAAGGTAAAAACACTGAATAAAGTAGTTTCGTGTGTTTCTCCAGGGCAGTCCGGCGCCGCTAACCGAGCTAGCTCAGCTTGTTGCTCTGATCCAGACGTCCATGACTAAAATCCTTAATCCGGTTAAATATAGTCAAAAAAAATACCATTTGTATAGCATTAAAGTTCAAGAAAGGATGGTTTGCGGACAAAAAAAAACTACCTTTTCTTCAATTCCTGTATTTTTTCATATCGCAATATATATCGCAGGGGAAGAAAATATCAAAATGTCAGTTTTTTCCAATATGGTGCAGACCTAATACACACATATACACATACTGTAAGTAGACTGAGGGTATTAGGATGCAATCAGATGGAACAGTATCCCATGTGCATAGTTGGAAACCTTGCATGGCACTGCACCATATGTGCATTCTGCACAAAAGTACTGGTGTAACAATACAAGCCCACTGAGCTTTGCGTGTTTAAATGCAAGTTTTTTTTTCATTCCTATTTCATTCCCCCATGTGTCTCTGGCTCTCTCTCTACCAACCATGTTTGTTTCTCAGTGTGTTTGTGTGTGCGTGCATGCATATGACATCTATCTGGTGGATTACGAGTAATGCCCTGATCCCGTCGCAAACTGGGCCACCGCTCCATGTACGCAGTGAGATTCCCTGTGAGAGAAACTGCATTTCCCGGCGTGTCATTCAGGGCCACTAGAAACAATTCAACAAAAGGGTTCACTTGACTGACCCTTGTTTGCCCCAAAACCAACAAGCTGTCGTCCTTCTCCTTGCAGCTTGGATGTAGCAATACAAATTCCAGCTGATATACAACTTGTGTGTGTGTGTGTAACAGAACAGAACAAAAACATATCCTTTTTCAGAGGCTACAGGAAGCAATGCTGAGTTGCAACCCAGTACTTCAGTAAGCAGACTCTATACATTTTTGAAAACGAGAGTGGTTTAGGATTCTACCCAAGGAGGCTCTTGGTAATGTGAAACTCTTTAGCTTCTGTTTGCATCACGTCATTTATGTGTTGTGCATTTCCAATTTCTTTTTCCACCAAGCCTAAGGAAAAAAAACTAAAACAGACACACCATTAAAATACTGTTTTTCCCAGTTTCTGTCAATGACATTTTCAAACATGACAAGGCACCAGGGCAGCATTGAAAGGACAGAACTTGCACATGTGGTGATTGATCGACCTGTCAGCATCCTACCATATTGCCAGCACTCCCATGGCCTTGAGGTTGACTGGAATCTGAGAGGTGGTTGGGTCAATCGCCCACAATGGTAGCACCGCTACTTTTGCTTACTTTGGAAGCCCTTGAGCGAGCAACGGATCAGTAAGAGCTTTGACAGCAGCCTTCTTTGGTTACCTGGAAGTATGTCATTCAGCTTTTACCTTGGGTTCTAAGTGTAAAGGTCTAAGTTGCTATTAAAAAGCAACATGTTCTTCCACAACACGTGGCAGGCTTCTATTTTGTAACAACCCCTGTACTTGCGGAAAATACTCATACTTTGCCTTTTTCGACAAATGCATCATAAGTGTTTTAGGGTTATATAATTAAATCTGATCGAGATGTTCCTTTTCTACCTCTGATGGGGTTGGTGATTCTATGGTAGACCCTTAAAAAGGCAGTGAAGCAGTTTTGCACTTTGTGGGTCAAAGATTTGTGAGTTTTGGCATTTCATTAAGGGATTTTGTGTCGTGCCACATACACTTGTGTTTGTAGTTGTCTGATTTAAATGTTGTTGTAAGCAAGCATGTGTAATGCTTAGAGTAGACAAGAGATTAGATCGCTATAAGTATCAAGTTTGTGTGTGCTTCATGGCTTCTTGTTGCTGATGGATCAGGCACTGTCAGGATTCACTGGCATGAGATGAAGAGGCATGGTCACAGAGGTAAAAGGTTTTGGCCCCTGAGGATAAGTTAAGGGGGAGAAACACAGTCAAGCAGTTATTTTCTTAGACGGATTGTGTTTATTTTCTGTGATTGATTGATATTGCCTGACTCACAGAAAGTGTGAAGAAAGATCGCGTCTGACATTATTGCACACAATGACAACATTTCAACATCTGCTCTCGGCAGTTTAGATCACGATAGAGACACTAGGGGATTTTTCCTGTGGACTGGGAAGTGATGATGAAATCACCAAAAGGTCCCAAAGTGTTGCACTGGTCAACATACTTAGGTCTTTAGGCAGGATTTCTAAACGTTTTTTAAATCCATGGACAACAACTAAAGACACTTTGAAATGGTGCCTCACATACAACAGCATATTATAGATAGTTCATTTTATTTTGAGACATACATCAACATTTAATATATAATACGCTATTTCGCTTAAATGTAGGGATTATTTAGATTTTTATATATGTCCCTTCAATATGAATCTTGAACCAGAAGCAGCTTAGTTTAGCTTACAGGGGGCAACAGCTTGCCTAGCTCTGTCCGAATTGTATCCATTACCATATGATTTCTTGTTTGTTTAAACTGAACGACTGGGCAAAGAAAAGAAAGTTTAAAATCAGCTTGTGAATTTTAAACAAATTAGATAAACTTGTGAAGTGTTATAGTTGCACGAGGAGACCCAAAAACAATATTTGTAAATTGATGATATACAGCTTTTATATGAAAAGGGAGGGGGCAGGTGATTCACTTTTCTTAATATCAGGGTCAGGTAAAAGATATATGTATATTCAATTAATTTTGTCTTCTCTGCCAATCAAATTATAAACAAGACATGTTCAGACATTGGGATGGTTAACATGGTTAAACTTCAGTGGTGTTGTATAAGTAATATAAGAAATGAGAATAACATTTTTCACACAATTGTCCTTTAATTTCCTTATTTTTAATTAACTTCCCGTTTATTGTCAAATTAATCTAATTAATTATCTAAATAATTCATGCTGTCTTTCTAGAA